TGCTGCAGCAATTCTGTGCAGGGGTGTGGCCAATATGGTAGTCTGTGAGGGCTACCTTAACTTAGACAGGCCCCCAGAGCTATCTAAATTATGCTAGGAGGTTCTCTGGTCCCCAAAGCAGGCCAGGATTGGGAGGATAAAAGGCATGTAAAGCCACCTGAGCTTTTGGGCAATGATTTCTGTGCTGAGATGTCCTGACCACCCCTGCAGCACCAAAAAGGTTTGAGACTAACCGTGCTGGAGATATCCTAAGATATGCAGGAAACTTTTGTGGATCCCCCAGAAGTTGTAGTCACGCAGAAGCTTAATACCGCCGCACTGCTCCTTGCACCTCCCCTCTTCCCATAGCCTCTCTGGCTGTGGCAGCTACATAACCCTCTTCCTTCCACAGTGAGCTTTCTCAGTGCAGGGGGAGAACCATGCAAGGTAGTGCTGACTAAGCATCAGCTTCCATAAGGAAATCTGGGAGGAGAGGGGGAAGATATCACAGAGACCATCCATCCTTTTGACCTTATTCCTTCATAAAGGGAGAGTACTAATCTCACAGAATGTAAGGGTAATAACTTCTGCAGATCTTTGGGAAAGTATAGTGTGTTAGAGCTATTTCTGCTTACTTCCTCGTAAACCAAGTGGTCCCGGGATTTGAGTCCTCACTGCTTATGCTAGTGCAGGGAACAGCGGGGAGGAGACGGGGAAAGGGAATGGGAGATATGGACCTCAACTTAAGAAGATGAATATGGATTTAACTTGTTTGCATATTGCTCCTTCCTTTTGTTTATTCACATCCTCCCCAAAACAAAAATATTTGTAAAAGCTAGATCTAGCTATTGTGAAACTGAATAGCTGGACAGAGTTATGTTGCTTATTAGGGTAATAATCCATCTGTTACAGAGCAGGCTCAATTTGTAAAATTAAGTTTATAAATCAGGGAGAGAAAAGTACTTGTCTCTTCCCCACAGTAAGCATTTACTCTCTTTTTAGAGTTCCCATTTATAGTTACATGGGGTCATTTTAAGAAAAATATACATCCTGGAGAAATAATTCAGTCTGTCTCTTAAATAGGCTCTTACACCTTTACATTCCTGTTGAGCAAATAAGCAATGGCTGTTCAGTTTCATCTGAGTTCTTCCCGTGTGTCTCTATCATCTCTACCTTGTGAAGTCATTTTGATTTTTACTAATGTACTGTGGGGGGGGGGGGGTTTCCAGAGGACAAGCTTATATGCTTGTAGCCTTTTGTCACCAGAGTGAAATTTCAAATGTGGATCTATTAGTATGCATTACAGATATCAAAATGGTTGAATAAATTTTTAAAAATTAGTTCACTGCAGTATTTTTTTAAATCTGGACTGATCCAAACATCTCCCAACAATTCTTCTAACAATATGTGATCGGAATAATAACTTCACATGTTGTAGAATTCCATGCTGCAGCTGAGAGGCATGTAAATACAAGCTGCTTATTTGCAAGAAGCTTCCAGATTTGCAATATGATTGCTATGGAAACCACATAATGAAAACCTTATAACCATCTGTGTGGTTTGATGGATTTTGCTGCATAGCTGAGCTGTTTTTGTTTACTGTTATTAAAGTGTTGAATGGAATATATTAACCCACAAACTGTGATTATCCAGGGTATTAATTAATATTGTATAATGACCGTGTCTATATCAAATAACACAACACAATCAAATACTAGCTAATAATACTGCTATTAATATAAGATCTAATGTAGGTAAGTGGTTGACTATCAGTTTTTTGGTGGAATGCTGACTTTATACATATTTATCTGGGAGATTACCAATTCTGTTGCAGAAATGTATTATGCAAGCTACACTTTAGTACATTTTTATATTCATATAATCTGACTCTCTCTGGGAAGAACAAAAAGGAAGAAAAATCAATTAGACTCATGTCTAAAAGTCAGATACTGTTGTATTTGTTGTATTCGCTTTAAATCATATGTGCAGGTAGAGCCATCTGTGTTTGGGGAATAGCTGTGGCAATCTCCTGGTAGTAATTTACAAATTTAACTCATAGTGCAAAATTTTAGAATTCAGCTGTGAAATCTACAGGAATTATTATTATTATTATTTTTAATATTTGCAGTTCCTCCCTGATCTGTTACCAGAAAAAAAATCTTTTAACTTTCTAGTAGTGGAGATATGCTGTAAGTGTCTCTATATTCTAGTCTCTAGGGATCCTCAACCTATTGCTGTAGGCCCAAATGCATTTCTTTGGGACACATACACAGCTCTTCTAGAGCTCTGGGTTTGATCAGAGCTCCTATTGATCTGGAGAGAGAAACTAGAGAGACACGTCTCTTCCCAGCCTGAAGGGTAGAAAGTGAGGGGAGAGGGGAAAGATTGAACTACGATTATTTTGAAGATCTCTGTGGCTCCCTGTGACACACATTCTTGATAATACAATTTAACTTTTGTCGTACTGTTTCTCCTCAATAATTGATGTTGTATATACTATCTGTGCTATGCATTGCTGCAAACATTGCAACATAGTTTCTGACCAGTGTCTCTACGCATTTGAGACTGCTGTTGGTTACAGGAGGTTTGACACTGCTTCCAGGCCCAAAGTGCAAGTTGTATTTAGGAGCTAAATGTCCTCTTTAAGCTCCCATGACCCAAGTCCGTTAGATCCAAAGCAATATTTAATTGACATGGAGAACCACTGGGGTTTTGAAGGAACTTGGGTTCAGTCTTTCTTTTCTCCTCTTACACTTCAAATACAAGTCTAGGAAATGACCATCAGTTTTAAACAATGTTTATCTTTTTTTAAAGGGAGAATTGTACTTATTTATGAACTTTGTTTGTGAACCCACAGTATAGTGTTTATTTTTATAGGTACTCTGTCTTACTGTGGAAAAATTTCTCAAACCTGCACTGCTTTCCCTTTCCCTTTTTAAATTAGAGAGAGGGAAGGGAAAAATACTTACTAAAATGGAGTTCTTATTATCACAGAACTGATGGAAAGAGTAGCAGCATGGTATGAACATTCTTAATAAAAATAATTCTGCAGTGTTCAATAACCAAAAAATTATTTCTAGCAGTATATAATAATCTGTCTCTTACCTGGAATTGAGTGTTTATAGGAAGAGATAATGCATTGTGGGTAGAAAAGATGACAGACAAAAGGATAATATTGCTTGTAAGTGGCATAAAAATGGTTGTAAGCCATGGAATGAGTGCCTCCTGGTGCCCTTGAGGATATATAAGGATACTTTTGTTACATTTTTTTAGCATGTCCCACATGATGTAATGATGTACTCAGTGTTGAACAAGTTTAAATATAGCAGATAGTCAGTCTCTCTCTCTCTCTCTCTCTCTCTCTTTTATGTGCTGTGCAGTAGCATCAGATTTACCGCTTTCCATTGTTTTCTTGTTTTGTGTCCAAGTCATTGGAGTCTGTCTTAACCAAACTTCTAGCTAGTCAGTAGTTATTAGACAACAAAAACTACTGATTAACTAGCAAATTAATAATACAAAGCTCCTTGAACAGTAAATCACATAACCATGTCTCCCATTATATTGTGTTTGGCAACCTATAGCCCCAGTCGTGCAAGTAGCTCTGCATGTGCTTAACTTTAAGCGTATGAGTGGTCCCACAGAAATCAACAGGTCTACTCCTGTGCTTAAAGTTAAACATGTCTATTAAGTATTTGCAGAATTGAAGCCTGAATGTGTAATGTGATGTGCATGAATGAACCTATACGTTTACAAAGTTATTAATGCAAACCAGACATGATCACATGTTCATGCTGAAACTCACCCTCCTCCCCATCATAGAATGTTATGAAATTCTTACATAATCTGCTTGTGAAGAACATTTTAAAAGCCATGACTTTTATACTCATTGTTTATTAACAAAATATCAGATTAGTAGCTGTAATGGGTTCATGGTACTTAAAAGCAAACATACTTATTATATTAGTACACAGTGTGTTAAATAGCAGCAAAGGAATTAGACATACCTAAAGTGCAGTTCTATTCTGAAAAGTGGCTGTGTCAATATAATACCTAGCGAGGGGATCTGTGTTGTCAGCTGTGCTGTTCTAGAGACTATGATAAGGTTTTGGTTTTTCATTCATTTTACTCCTACAGAAAGAACACAGCTATGATAGAGGGAGTTAAAGTCCATTCCTTTTTATGCATCATCAACAGAATTGTAAACTAAGGAGTTTATAGTAGTCCCTTTCTTGTCCCTATACGAAGCAGAGCTTGTATCTGGGAGGAGGAGGGTTCCAACTCTGTGTTGGCAAGAGAACAGGGTTGAGGGGCTCCATCAAGCTCTCTTCTCCTCCCTCCCAAGCCACGGAGGAAAGCACAGTTAGTTGGTACGGTCTGAGACTGTATTAACATAGACTATTCCCCTACCCATGCCCAGGTTAAATATAACTTTCCCCCCACATACACACTCCCTTTAGTGGTTCCCATGATCTGCCACAGTAGGTGGAGCCACTGAAAACAGGGCAGCTATGCTCCCATTGAGCAGGCAGGAGCCAATGTACATGCATGGCACAGCAGAGGCAAAGAGGGCCCATGTCTCCTGTGGAACCCCCAACTTTTTGTGGAGGTATGGGGCAGTGACAATCACACCCCTCTGATGTAAGAATGAATAGGAAAGCCTGAATGTTCCCTATCCTGGAATGATAGATGTAGCCAGGGAGGATGGGACCCCAGTTCTGATTGTTCTAGAAGCCATTGCAAGATTGCAAAGGGGGAGCCCCAAAATGCCACTTTTCAGAGTCAAAGATGAATTCAACAGTTCACAACTGAGTTTTTTTTTAAAAGAGAGCTACCAGAGTGGTTAAAAACAAAAAAACAACCAAGCCCTCCAACTTGTGTGGCAATATGAAAACAGAAGAGTTTGGCTCCCAGCATTTACATTTTAGAAGTATAGATAGTGTGATTGATTAACTGACATGGGCTGTAATTCCTGTCAGTTAGCAGGTTCCTTCAGCATTTCATTCCTAATTGTCTATTTGCAGAAGAAGAAGAAGAGAGTGCTCCTCCAAAGACTGAAGAGCCAAGGAAACTGAGCCAAGAGAGCACTAGCAATGTTTCAGGTAATTAAAATGTTTTTCTTTCTTCTGCAAATATTTCTTTACTTTTCTTTTCCAGTCTTTGCCTTTTGCTGTTGTAAACAATGTTTTCCCAGCTTCCAAAAGTTATCTGTTTCATCTGGGTATTTTATGGCAGTAAAACTGCTTAGCACCATTTAGGATGCATGAAAACCACTTGAGAAGGATTTATAAAGTAAGCCCATTTATACAAGGTATTCCTTCCTGAATTACTTTGTAATGACTCAATTAGCTTTCATTTCTGCACAAAGGAGATTTAGTTGCATAAATTAGCTTATCATCATTGAGGAAGTGTCACTGCTAAAGGACAGTTTATAGATACAACATGCAGTTGCTGTCAAACCTATAAGAATATAATATAGACATCTGTGTATACTTTGTGCTTGAGCAGAACAGACTTCTGCCATTCAGAGACTAACAGGGGACAACAAGTTGCCCAGGGGACTGGCAATGTAGACATCTCTGAAAAGGTCAACTTGACACAGGCTCTGACAATCGACCCAGAGCTCTGTCTTCTTTGATAAAAATCAGATAAACTTAAGACTGCTAATTGATCTGCAGCCTGTTTAAATGTTGGCCATGCATATCTTCATTGCATATGATTATCACAGAAAGCAAATGAATTGGGTAAGAAATGCCAGAGTCCAGTGACAGCAGCAAAAAAATTGGAAAAGGACACAAATGCCCGGGAAGGCTAAGAAGGCTAAGTCTCTGCCTCAGCTTGGCAAACTGCCCTGGTGCTAATTGTCACTGGGACTGGAAAAATAACTGCAGATACTATGTAAAGTCACATGGAGGGACAACTTTTCCGGACTGCAAGACATTCCCAGCTAAGGTAAAAACAAGATATATCCCTGCCTCAAGGGCATGGTCCTTTTGATAAACCATCACTTTTTTGACCAGAAAGTAGGGAAGACTTGCTTCTTATCAGGTCTTTACACCTCTTCACAGCTAAATGTCGGCCAACGCCAGATTTGCCGTGTCGTAACTGTGTCCTGCAGTGTAATGCAGTCTGGGGTCGCCTTCCTCCATTATATATACTGCACATCACTCTTCCAGTGCTGTCAGGGAAAGGGTGGATAAGGAGTGTGTGTTCAGGAAGTAGCTTTGCAGTACTCTTCCTATTGCAACATGTGGAGAGGAAACAGGGGCCTGATTTCCTGACCCATACAGGAAAGCAGGAACAGGTTGCAGTAAAATGTTTTGGTTTCCTTTTCTTGGAAAGGAAATGAGGACTGGGTCATCAGATTTGCTGGCATTGTGATCTACTAAAAATCACGCATAAAACAACACGACTCAATGAAACCTTAGCGTTAACAGTCATTTAGACATGCCAATAATTATAATACTGGATAGGTCAATCCAATTATAAAGTGAGCAACAGATGTTTGTTATTCTCATAAATATTTCAGCTCAAAGAAATTTTACTTTGATAACATCCTCTAGTGTAACCAAAATATTAGCACTTTAGTTTATGAACACAGCACTCCCCATTTTTATGAGAACAGTTCTATAAATTTAACTAGGGTTCATACAATATCCTTGAAATAAAGCACCATAATAATTCTCCCCAGACATGAAATTCATTTCAAGTAATAGTTTTAACACTTGAGCATAGCACTGACCTCTGTTCTTCCCTAAACAATTAAATATATGACACAAGAAGTTTGTTTGCCATGTAGGGCAGTGAGTTGACGAGGGTATTTCTGTCTTTCCAGGCATCACATCATATGAACTTCTAACTTATTCAAAAATGTCTGATGTTTTTCCAACAAATAATACACACAGAATACAGTACCTAAATCTCAAGCGATCCAAAACGATAGACGAAAGAAAAGAAAAACGATACTTTTCTTACCATCAGTAACTCATCTTCTGCACTTAACTAATTTTTCCTCTAATTATCTGTTAGAGTGAGTAGGTATATATTATGGAGAGATGCTAAACTTCCATTATGAACTCAGCTTGGGCACAGTTGCTTCTTAACTTTTCCAGAACTAAACCATTCAATCTGTAATTGAAGCTAAGGGATCTTCTGTCAGACTAGAATTTTTCTAGTAAATTTGAAGCAACTCAGATAAAGAATTTTGGAAATATGAGGGCAAAAAATTGAAAATCTCTTATCTTGAAAGCTTTTCTAGCATTTTTGTCTCATCTTAACTCCCAAGCAGTTTGTCTACAAACTCAAAATTTGTCTAATCTGCTGGTTTTGATGAAGACTGGTGCTTTTAACTAGCTTTGCATTATTGATAGAGTGATTTAATGTTCAAAACCAGTTTTCACATCCATTATTGGTTTCATAAACTTAATAAACTGTGTGTTGCCTTGATGTAGATAGCTGTGATTGTGGAGTATTAGGGACTGAGAGAAGTGGCAGAGTGAGAATTCATGCTCTGCCACTGAGATGCTGGATTGAAGAGAGGGGGCTGAAAGGACAGAGCTGTGGTGGGAGAAATGCTGGGGAGGGGAAATATATAGAAAATAAACTGGACTCATCTAGTGGTTGACCCCGGGCTCCCCAAATAAATCCGGTAAAATTATTTTACCATGCTTCTTTTTTATCTTATAATTCTCTTTCCCTGATGTGGATAACAAGAGTGAGAGAAAGGGCCCAGGAAGAAGGAAGCTATGTGCATTCTTGTACATTCTGCAGGAACATCAGAGCAACTGAAAACCAGATGGTTTGTGTCCTCAAACAACACACACTATCACAGCAGAGAGTCTGAAAAGTGAAAAGGAAATTAACTGGATAACCATATCTTACTCTTGTTAAGACAAATTTACACTACTGTGCTATTTATTCTGAACATCCCCTGTCTTTACATCACTAGAGCTCACTACAATACACATGCTATTTCTAAAGATCATAAACAGTGATCCCAAAAAGGGCAGAATTTTTGCATCTCTTCACCAAAAAAACCCACATTCCGGACTGTAGCATGGGACAACGCCCCAAAAGTTGATGGTGCTGTCATGCTATGAGATGTAGCCTAGACATACGTAGTAGTAGTTTTCTCTGGTGCTGTGACCTCTTAAGAGCCAGAATAAAGTAACTTATACACCAGAGTTGCAGGCTGCCTGAGGATCACACCTATATGTCACAGTCATTTATGTACAAAGCCAAGGCACTATAAATGAGAAAAAATGCTGGAGTTCCTTCTTCCCACAGGGAAACTAGCCAGATAAAGTGGGATTAGTAGATTTAAGATACACAACTGCAGGCTCTGCTAACTTCTTAAAGATTTAATCAACCCCCACCCCCTTTACACCAGGATGAAAAATGTCTGTCTTATGTAGAGTAGGAGGTCAGTGGAGATGAGGGCAGTGTTAAATTTATTTTAATGACCTGATGTGTGCATTTCTATACTTCTAATGTTAATGTTTTAAAAAGGTATAATCTTACTCTGAATTTCCAGGCTTTCTAACCTTTCTCTTTGAGACTACTATGTTGGGCTCATAAAGCTTTTTTTCCTTAAGTATCTAGTTATTTATAACCCTAAATCCAGTTTAACAAGTTTAAGGTTGTGTATGTGTGTGTTTGCATAGTGTGTGTGTAATATATTTGCCAAATTTTTGCCCATGGCAACCCACCTTTTATTTCTTCAATCCCAGACATAAGGCATAAGTAGCTCTTCTCTAGTTTATTTGAAGGCAGATCAGAGGTTTGAACCCATCCATAATCAGTAAAATCTATGTTGCTGATTTGTTATTGTAGAATGCATTTACAACAATAACTTTTTCATAGTTGTTGTTTTTTCTTGATACCTCTCATATTTTTGGTATTATGAGCATTAAGACAAAATGAGTAATAAATTGCCAGTAGCTTACAGCATTCAGATAATCCCCAGGTTAATCACAACAACTACCATATCTAAAAGATCCCAGAATCTATCTCGAACCCAAACTCAAACTTGCAATATATCCTGAAGGCTAGCACACTTAGCTCCTGGACCAGCAAGGTCCATCCATCAAATATGTCCTAACACCGAGGACAGGTAACATTAATGGCCACAGACGATCACAGCTACTTAATGAGGACACTGTGGGAGGGGGGAAGTCTCTAAAATGGCGAGGACCCACAGCATTAAACTAAGCGTTAATTTGAACTTGGAAGCAAAAAAGGAAATCTTTGTAGCAGGACAATATGTTAGACATCTAAGTATGATGCTCTTAGCATATCTAATACCACTGAGAAAGTGGGCTGCAATGAATCCCCTGGGTAGTCTTCAAGGAAAGCTCCAAGTAGAGAGCATTACTGTAGTCCAATCTAGACATGAGAGGGGCATGGATAACAGTGGTCAGGTGCAGACCTGAGAGAATATATTGCAAATCTAGCCAATGGCAAGTGGTGGCGGGAGGGAACCAAAACCACAACACTTTTGCTTACTGCTGCTATCTGGGGAAATAGAGATCCAAAATAACCCCTGATTGTGGACATCCTTGACAAAGTATACTTCATTAGCAAGAGCAAATACATCTTCAAGCAATTTCTCCAGCAGCTTCCCCTACCCACTAGCACTACCACCTCCTTGTCTGACATGAGCTTTAGCCATCTAGCCTTCATTTAGGCCTTATCTCTGTCTGAAATCAGGGAAGTAGGGAGGCTGCGCTATCTGGATCTAATGAAGAGTTAGTTCTCATCAGCAGATAAGACAAAAATGTCTGTGTTCTCCATCAGCCCCTCTCACACCCTGGAAAAATAGGTATGACAATGAAACTTTGAGGAACCCTTCACAAGGGAGTTTTGAAAACTGTTGGGCGGTTGCTTATCAAACAATTGTCCTGGAATGTGAACTGCCTCACTTTGTATTTCCCCACCACAATCATCCACCCATACCAAATGCAGCTCAGCCACTCCTTATGATCAATAGTATCAAAGGCAGCTGATAGATACAAAATGTACACCTGATCCTGCATCCCTTGTTCATATGAGTAAAGGCTACAGGGTCAGGCCTTCTGCATAAGATAGATGCTCTCTTTATTTTAGCAATATTTATAGACTGGGTATATAGCATTTTTAAAGAATTAGATATTTCATCTTTAAGGTACAGTAAAACGGTGACAACACTGGTTTCATAACTGAGATGTGAGAAAATGTGACAGCATATCAGTAACCCATGAATGTAACGTTACTGATATCAGAAACATATTAGCCCCCCACTCCTGCCCATTGGTACAGATGCTCCTGATATCAAATCACAGATCTGTTTTCATATCTTTAAAGTGTTTAAAAAGTGGGAAAAGAGAGTCAGCATCATTTCCTTACTATCTCTCTGCCAAATTCTTTTTCACCAGGGTCGCCTGGCTTTCTTTTATCCACTTCTCCAAATAAAGGCAAAAGACACAAGGTGGTCCTCTCTCATTTCTGAAATCAGGCCAGAGCTCAGAACGTAGCATAAGTCTGTAAACTAGGGGCTGAGCAATAAACGTTTTGATATGTATTTTAGAATGCAATGTGAGTTTGTTACAACATCCCTCGCTGCACCTTTCTGTGTGGTGTAGGCACTGTAAACAATACTAGCTCCATCTTTTAATGAAGCCAGCTTTGCTTGAAACATATTGCTTCTAAGGCTATGTCCATACTTAACATTATACAAGTGTGACTATGCACATACTTAATCAGACACACTTGTGGTCATAGAGGAGAAAGGAGATTCCAGTTGTTAATTTTTCACGTCCAGATTTCCCATCTGGAATTTACACACTACTATGCTTGGGAGAATAAAGTAACTTAACAAATGTACACTGCCTTTTTTTTTATTTATAATTTTTCATCTCCCTGGCCTACCAATTACTGTCTGAACCGCATGGCTCGCTGGGGTAAACAGCTCTCTTCTTATGTAGATTTCACATATGAGAGCACAGAGCCATGGTTGGTCTTTGGGTAACATCATCGAGTAGCGATTAGCTTATTTTAAAATGCATCTTTTCCAGTGTTGCCAAGTCATTAGTTCAGTTGCATTTACACTCCAAGGCTTAATGAAATACTCATGATGCTCATCGAGGGAGAGATGTATCTGACTCGCTGTGGGATCTCTTCTCCTGTCGATGTGCCCCATGTAACTCCCATTAATGTTAATAGGAATTCCACCAGGCTCCTCAATGGGAAGAAGAAACCCCAGAGGGATAAGTGTCATGTGTGAGAAATCATAATTCACATTTGTGTAACTCTGAAGAACTAAAAGTTTTATTTGGTATATTAAAAAAAGACAATTGCAACAAACCTCTTCAGCCAGAGCTTCAGTTTGCTTTAATAAAAATTGTACTGGGCGTTATGTTCAATCGCGTAGCTGAAATCATTACAATATTAAAATATGGTAGCAGAGATACACTGTTCATTTTATCATCTTACACTATTTATTTAAAAATTTAAATTTATTCAGTGAGTTTTAGATTCAGTGAATAATAAACTGACAGACAAGCTTGTTAGGGCCAAAACTTAGCCCTTGCAATTCAATCTCCTCCAGAGGCCATACTGTCTAAACATCTACACTGAAAAAATAAACCACTTTATTATGAAGATTTTTTTTTAAATTGTATCTATATTTTGGTGCGATCATAGCAGAATCTGTGTGCTGCTAGCCTGAGTGCCCTCTAGTGCTTTGTAATAGAAGTTAACCAATAAGCACTGCTTTAGGTAAAGGATAAATAATAAATGGCAATGCAGAGCAGTTTTAATTTATGTCAGAGTTGTGCAAATTCCTGCTTATGTCAGTAATGACATCTGAAAGTGCTAGCCCACAGACTGAAGTAAATAAATAGAAAGCAGCTCTTCTTGCTGCTATAGTAAACCGTGGAACTAAAATTAAAATGTTTGCAAAATAGAGAACGCCAACATCAACAGAAAAATACTCTTAGAAAATAGTGTGGCAGTTTCTCCTGTTTGTTACCTGATATTTTAGGGGAATGTTTTTTCTTGTAATAAATGTAACCAATCATGATTAAATTGTGATCTATAAATAATAGTCTAGAGTGCTAATGATATGCAAATGTGACTGGTACATGTTGGAATAACCAGCAAGCCTGCAGGGCAAGGATCATATAACAAAACTAAGATGAGAGCCTTGATTCAGCCAGTTCAGTGATATTTATGTTATCAGAAGTAGAAGATAGTTTTCCAGTGTTGTAAATTGTTAGTACATATTCTGTCTGGTTAGTGTATACACACTGTAACTGGTCATCTTATTCGCATTGCTTACATTCTTTGTGAGTTAACTCATCAAACTCCATTTTCACTGAATTAAAAACAGGAAATTGTTTTTAGTGTAACAGAAGTGTCCAGTGTATTTAACCATGTTTAAGTTCTATGTTCCAATAGATGTACTCTGTATGGTAAGCATATGACAAAGCATTTATTACTCTGTTATTGCAGTATTAGGGAGCAAAGAGTGCTAAATAATCAATCAGTTAATGGTCTGTATGGCAGTTTGAACACAGCACATCCATTGTGCTTATGCTGTTAGAAGGATGAGCTTATGACTTTAGTGTATGTTGCATGTTTAGCCAGAGCTTAATGTCCTACGCTGGAGCTGACACAAAATATTTTAGAAATGCTGCTTCAGCAAACAGTTTCAAAGTTGCTACAATATTTCAGCAGTAACAACCAAAGATTATATGAAAGACTCTCAGAAAAGGGAAAATCTTGTTGAAAAGAAAAAGATGTGCACCACAAAAAGTTTACCATTGGCCTTTTCTCACAGATTTTATTAATTATACTCTAGCATTGTATCCTTTTCAAGTTAAAATGCAAACATGGCTTGCTAGAAATATATTCGTAAAGAAGAGTTAGGTGCTGTAAGACGCAGCTGCTAAATGCTTTGAGAACCTGTAGCTGCATGTTTTGGATGACAACAGTTACCAAATGTAGGGTTCACATGTTAAACTGGTTTTCCACTTGCTTTTTTTGTGGGCGTGTGGTGAGGATTTCTACAATGAAAATTGAGAAATGTGTTCTAGCCCATCTTTGTTTGGTGTGTGAAGATTTAATTACTACCTTTGATGATAAAAGATCACAAATGCTGGAAGGTTTAATGTATGCTTTTTTTTTTCTTTCCCAGGGGATAAAAATACCAATTATGCTAATTTCTACCAAGGTCTGTGGGACTGCACAGGAGATGTTTCTGATGAGTTGTCATTTAAACGTGGCGACGTTATCTACATTCTCAGCAAGGTACAGTGTGCTACTGAGAGTAAATTGGTGTAAGAAAAGAGTCATATATTCCTACAATAATACGGGGGGGGGAGGGACTGGCACTCCCTTTAGACCCTTTGTTAGCAATCAGACATTCACAGTAATGAATTATTTTGTCAAATGAAATATAATCACATTTAAAACATAACCATGTAACAGGAATCAACTTAAAAGTATGTTTATCTGTTCGTTTAATCTTGGCTGACATCCCCTAGCTAATTTAATGGAAGACAATGTGCTTACTCTAGGTAAAAGTTAACCTTGTAGGGTAAACTATATTATGTTGTGTGTTATGGTTTTTACTTCCTCTTCCTTTATATTCTTGTGTGTCCTGATTCTGGTTTTCTGGGCATCTTGCTACCGGAAACAGTTTGTTTTTAGAACTAGGCTTTCATCTTTTTGTATACACTGCAGCTGTTCTGATGATTTAGGCTTTGTGTATGTTTCTTCTGACAGATTCAGGCGATTTTTAATTCACCACTTTTTCCTGTTTGCTTAAAAAAACCCACAGAGGTAAAGGCAGGTTTTCTGTTCCAATATAATGTCATGCATTAAGCTCGCAGTCATATTTTATTATAAGGTAGGTGAATTTGCCTACCTTTCTCAAATAATAATGGGACAAAATCCTTTCCTTGCATGCTCTTACACAAAGCCCATTGAAGTTTACATATGAGTGCATCTGAGAGTAAAACATTTTTTTCTTCTCCTCCTGTATAAAAATCCTCAGTTTCCACAGTAAATAAGCTGAAAATTTTTTTTGTAGCAGCACTTTTCAGTTACGTTCCTTCACCCACGATTGCCATTTAGTACAATGCTGAAGGCATTCAGGCTCATTTAAACCCTTTCTGTACTTGCACATGGAAATCATAAGTAACCCCATGAAAACTGCAGTACTCTTTCTGTTAGTTTGAAACTTTCAGTTTCCTCACTATTGCTTTAAATCTTCCTTGATTAATTTAACGGCAGTGTTTTTGGATAATAAATGTATGGCTTCTGTTTAAATAACTTTAAGATTTACAGTTGGAAAGATAGTCATATATCAAAATATAGACAATGTATTGCTAATGATGATGTGACCATGTGCTTCTTTTGAGGTATTTCATTGTCACTTAAGTTAATAACTGAATTACATTACTAGAGGTAGGATAAGGCTTTTTGGTGGGGCAGGCTTCCATTCAGTAGTGAAGATCAGTACTCCTTAACAAACATGGAAAACGATAAGCAAACAATTCCATTGTACACATCAGCCTCCTTTTACTATTGACTAATGCCACAAGGGGCTAAAATTAAATCTTAATCTCCCAACCTGACAATTAACAACTATTTACCCCTCTCCTACAGATAGTCTGAAAGAATTCACTTTAAAAATGAGAACAGAGGGGGAGAAACAGTAGCTTAATCCATCCAATCCCTATCAACCCTCTCCAGGTTGTGCCTTGATTAATGCATATTCAGTCCTTGAACTGGTCTGCTAATTTCTCCAGATGTGTAGAAGCTTTCTGGTGAGGGGTGATTTCTATGCCAAAACAGAGTCCGCAGAATTCAGTCTCATTTCACTTAGGGACTGTTTACAGCTTTTTCAGAAAATGAGTTTTGGTCATTACTGTCAGCTCTGAATTTAGGCTCCTTGGAGGTGAAATGCCAGGGAATTATCCATCTAGCCTTCCACTTTATTCAATTTCAAGGTCTGTCTGAGCATTACTAACCAGACAAAGGGTTTGTTAAGAATCAAACAAGGTAAAAAGTAATCTAGAGCACCCTAAAATTGGTAAAGACTTTTCTGCAACAAATATTCCTTAATCTAGTAGAGTAATACTTGGGTTTTGTGGCAGTGGTATGAATCTTGGGCAATTTTTTAATTTTTTTACACCATCTAGTGGTTAAAAATGAGAGATGCAGTTGCTGACAGTAGGTAATGTGTGTAGATCCAAAATGGTGTCATAAATTCAACTCCAGCTTGATCCTAGCTATGGCTTATTACTTTCCTATCATATGTCAGCTAGGTTTTAACATTAATCATGAAGCAATCATGTTTTGCTGATAAGGAATTAAATGCAAGTGTTATATGTTGTGGGAAGAATGCAATATTAAGAAAAATGTAGGGTATTTGTGTAAGCACAGAATATTTGTTTTATTGAGAAATTTAAATCTCATGAACTTGACAAAATATGTATTTGTAGCTTCCACCAATACGACTTTTGCATCTTTTGCCAAAAATTTTTTGTTTTCACATACTTTCTACAGTGCCTTATAGAAGGCTGAACAAGACTTTTTTTCTCTCAATTCAGTATTAATGTAATGGAAGCAATTTTGTTCTGACTTGGAAAATTGTAGCATTTTTACATGTTAAAGAGACAATGAAAATAAGATGACAATACATAACAGCTGAGGTGATTCTAGTTTAAGTGTACCTAAGGAAAATAATCATGGTTTCAGTGACACAACATTGATTATTTGTTATTTATTTGCTAATGTAGCTAAACACTACAAAAGGCCAAATCCTGCTTGATGTACTCATGAGTAGTCCTGTTGAAATCAACGGGGCCCACTACGACCTTGATCCTGCAAACACACGTTAGCTGTAACGTTCCTGAACAAAAGTAGATTTCACTCTTTTTAACATTAAGCCCTGAAATCTGGCTGAGCTACCTTCCAAGTCTGGGCATTTTTGCAGTTTTGCACCCAAGTAATAATGCATCTACCTGTTCTTAGCATATAAGGAGAACATGTCGTTTTTTGCTGCAAACTTTTACTGTTAAGTATTTCTTTCAAATGTTGAGAGTTTTTAAATAACAGATTTTTTTAACAAATGCTTCATAACACATATTGATAGGTAATCATTTAGCTTAAAAGATTACCTTTAGTTGTTTACAGTGAATCTGTCCAGATACACACTCATGCTGGTATCATGTTAAAATTTGTATTAGTTCTCTTGTGTGTTTGTGTGTGTTTGTGTGTGTGTGTGGTTTTTGTCATATTTATCCTGTTTTACTCAACCTTCAGAAATTTGTACTTCCTTCCCCTCCCACCCCACAAATAAGTGATACATTTACAGCCAGAGCTTCACAGGGATTTTTTTTTCAATGTAAAAAGGAAAATATTACATTAGAAATGCAATACTTTTGTGGCCCAAGTCTGCAAGATACTGAATGTCCTCAACTTCCATTCAGTTGTGGGTTCTCATTTGGTTTCAAATTCCTATGATCGATGGGAAAGCAAACTATGATGGCTCAGTTCTTTTAAATACTATACCATAAATCTTATTTTGTGTATAAAAATTGGTTTAAAATATAAAGCTAAGCATGGGTGATTGAATAGCTATATTTTTTAAGTTGGGTATGCCTTGGATTCAGAATGTGTACACAGTTAACCTATTTGTGGCAGTTGTATGATTTTCTAGCAAGAATGTTTCATATTGGAAAGCTTCATAATTTCATCAGCCAGATGCAAATGATTATGATGCTGTGCTGAGTGCATTAGCAGACCCCTGCGTCCTTCTAGTTGTCCATTACCATATAACAGTATACTGGATTCATGCACTGTGTAAGTCTTTGACCTTTAACCTCTTTTTCATACCGACCAGATTTATACATTTGTATTTTTAAAAGCAACAAATAACATTAACTAGAAAGACAAGTGTCATATCTCAGCCAGTATTGCTGAAATTATACCCATTTCCTGTTGTTAATTCAGTGCATGCCAGTGCAACATGATGCTACTCATGTAAGTATTTATTGTCCATAGGAATTTCATCCACCAGTTAACCCTTTGCTTTAAGGACACTGGAACTTTTGCTGAGTGTAGAGCAAGGATTCAGTATTCAGATTTCTGTACATTGTGTTTAATATCTGTAAATGCATAATGGTGGGTCTTTTAACAAAACTAAACAAAAATAACCACCGCAGGGTGCACCTCTGAACCTGTATTTTTGTTTAATCAAAATACAAAGAAACATATTAGTCTTATGAGCTCAGATCACTATCTATGAAAATATAAATACAGCACAATAGTGGAACTGTTGCCTGCCAAGTACCAAGTATAGGGAGAATACACTTTTTAATAGTTACACAGAAGACACTATGTATATGGTGGTAAAATATGGAGTATTTTTGTTAGACCATTACCTAATCATAATGAAAGCTGTATTTGTTGAAAAGTTAGTTCCTTGTGATCATACTACAATGTAAATTATCCCTTTTCCATTTGTTTAGGTGTATGTCTTGTACAAAAAAGGAAACCTGCTGTATAATGGTTAAAAAATAAGATAAGGGTAAGGACCTGGAAGTGTGGGGTTATCTAATCCTGACCAGGTCAAAAGTGATTTTAGCTCTGTACACTTACCTTTATTAATAAGCACTTAACATTATCTATCTCACTAGGAAATATTTTTGACATTATGATTTGTGATGCATGTAAAACAGATTTTCACTTCTCCTAAGATGTTTTCAGATACCAATTTTGAATCTTAAACTCAATTCTGTTCACTTTTATTTGTACTGTAACTTTTAAATTGATTTATATTTCATTATGTTATGTCATTACCTAATAATGCTTCCATATAATAAATCTGAGGATTATATTTCTAAAAAAAAACTATTTTTTTCCTATCTTAAAACAACTCTGCTACCCGTGAAGAAGTCTCATTCAGTTATCTAAAGCATTTGTCACTTTCTGCTTTTTAGAGAAAATGTCATTCAATGCCAAAAATGCTCTCCAGTCAATCACATATCGTTCAGCAATTACACCAAAGAAAGTTCTAAAATTTTCCAGATAGTCTGAATCTCCTGAGCAAATTAGAGGTGGTTTTAAATATTATCTTGCCAAAACTGGCCGCTAGGACGTTCTTAAAAAATGTTCTCCCTGCCTCCAACTCCTCTACAGTCTGCTAGTGGGGGCTACTCATTTAACCATAGCCTGATTAAAGATAAATTCTTCATCTCAATTTAAAGTTTAAAATCTATAATTGTTAAGAAGTTAATTTTATTAGTAGTATGGAAAAAAGAATCATTTGTCATCCACACATTCATTGTTGTTTTCCGTGTATGGAAATAAAAGGATGATTTTCAGAAATCTTCACTTCAAAAGAGAAAACACACTACATGTATTCATAGATTCTAGGGCGAGGAGGGACCACTGTGATCTTTCTAGTCTGACCTCCTTTGTAACAGCCCAGAGAACTTCCCAAAAATAATTCCTAGAGCATCTCTTTTAGAAAAACATCCAATCTTGATTTAAAAATTGCTAGTGATGGAGAATCCACCATGATGCTTGGTAAATTGTTCCAATTGTTAATTAACCTAATTGTTAAAAATTGACACTTTATTTCCGTATTAAACAATACAGGTTCAGTCGAATGAGGTGCCAAATGCCCTCATCTCTTGTTGAAGTCTATAGGAGTTGAGAGAGTACTAAGCATCTCTCAGGAGGCTCTCAGCTCTGCACACGATCTGGCCCTTAGAGACGGAGTGAGAGAGAACTTCCTGCAAAATGTTGCATTTCAAACTTCTCTTTTTATGGGAATGTTCTGTACACTAAAAAATAATTGAACAAAAATATACAGATAAATATGGAAGTGGCTAGCATGTTTCCATTGAATGCACTCTACCAAACTGCAATAACCTTTTAGGCCTGGATCTCTTAAAGTCTTAAGTAGATGCTTACCTTTACACATTGATGTTGGGGGTAGGGGGCAGTAGGCAGGGGCATCTGTACACAGCATATAAAATTAAGAGCATAGGCATTTGCAGGATCAGGATCTTTGTTTTGTTGTTACCTTTATATACTACATAGAGAATGAATGTGTATGCAAAAATAGTTTTAATTTTAAATTAGCAGCTTTCTTTCATTCTTTCTTTCAACCGGATGCAATCACTTTGTTGCTTAATCAACATCTGTAAAAAAACAAAAACCATCACCCACTGTGTATCAGAATGAACAACGAAAATATATCCGCAGTTTAGAAAACATTTAGCTATTCCTTATGGTTATCTTCTTGTTTTATTTGGAAAGGATTTTTTCCTTCTCTTCCCCTCTCTCCCCCCTCCCCCCCCCCCCCCCCAGTGTATACTATGTGCTTTGTGAAGCAATTCATTTTGCAGTTATTGAATTTCTTCTGAATGTTATTTTCATACAGTAAGCATCACAGCAACTCTGGATCTTGATAGCATTTCTACGTAAGGAGAAAGAAGCTTTGTGTTAGTAATTACCTAACATTGTCAGGAGCTGACTGCAGGCCTCTTTCTAGTGATAACAGAATAACTACATAATATAGCTTTATAGCACATGATTAATAGAAAATAATTACACATCCTACAAAGGGACACAATATTTCTTATAAATTGACTAGAATGGTTTCCTGTAGATTAAAGGACTGTTCATTATTTTATCAGTCCTTCTGAAGTATAGTCACTTGCCTCTGTTAGCGTTGATGGTAGGAGCTGAATGCAGTGAGGGATACCAGATGGTAAGCTTTCTCAGACCTGAGGTCCTACTTGCTGCTTGCAGGATACCATGCTTTTCTTAACTTTTAAGAGTACATATTACCGGATTCTATTTCTACTGCATTTTTAAACTATTCTCTAGTTCCCACAAATGTGGATTTTAGTCTTTATTTTATTCCACGCCTGTCTTATACAGCAATAACAGACATGGAACCTCAAGACAACACTGAATCAATTGCATTACTTTGTCACTGTAAGTAATTTATCATTGATAACAATAGTAGAAACAATACATCAAATTAGATTTTGTATGTGGGCGTGCAGGAAGGTGAGCTTTAGCAGTATTTAGAGGGAGATTTACGTATAGGGTGACCAGATGAGAGGCAGAAAATATCGGAACACCATGGAGAAAGGGGGCGGCAAAAGAAAGCCGAGTGCTGCCGGCGGAGCAAAAAAAAAAAACTGCCGGCGGAGCGAAACAAATTGCGTCCCGACCACAGATCGGTTGGCACGCGGAACAAACAGTTAAAAATTGGGTCCAGATTTTATCGGGACGTATGGTCACCCTACGTACATACATTAACCAGTTTAAAAAGGAGACTTCTACGTAGTGATGATCTGAAACCTGAGGTTAAAATATTCTTGGTAACCAGAAACCTTTATTATATTTTTATTCCAACTTCTATGGACTGCAGATGGTTTAATTGGGATTCATGTTGCTCTAGAGGCTCATGCAAAGAATAGTAATGATAAAGTAAAAGCTTCTGTGTTGCAGTCTTGTCTATATGGTCTAATGGCTGCAATGAATCCATAAATTAGCTTACTAGACTGTTACATCACCATCCATTTCATCTTCTCACTTAGCTTCACACAAGAGCATTAAATGGCATATTACTAAATAGCAAGAAATGGAAAGTTTTCAAAAAGCAACATGTTTGTAATTTAAATTGAGCCATCGGAATAGCTTTTTAAAAGTTCATGTGGTATCAAAGTTCACACAATGTCTTTAAGTGAAACATTTTCAAGCAATAATTTAATCCACAACCTTTTTCTGTGCCATTTGTTATAAGTGGTTTAATGACCACTTAACTAAGCCTCTTCCCTGATCTCATGTATTGTTTGTTTTTGGTGATGTCTAGTAAAACTTGCTTAATCAATCTTTCTTGGGCTCACTTCATGAGTTACACGTAACAGCTTAAAGTATGTTGTTGCTTTTTCATTAGAAAGATTTATGGGTGAAATTCCTTTAGCATAGGTGAGTGCTGGCATCTTGAGCAATTACCAGTTTTCAGTCTAGAGATAGTTTGTATACTTAAGCAGCATAGTGTGATACTTTATATATATATATATATAAAATCACACTATGCTGCTTACTATAATTTTCTGTGTGTGTATATATATATATATATATATATATATATATATATATATACAGAAAATTATAAAATGTATTAAACAAACAAGCTG